TCTATAATTACACCTACATTATTTCTAGTGTGACTTCTACCTGAAGACCAAAATTTTAAACTCAAACTATCAATCTCCTTGGTTTTTTCTCCAACCCTTTTAGTTTCTTGAATATGTAAGATATTTATCTTTCTATGAACTATAATCTCAACTAATTCCATATATTTACCTGTGATAGTGCCAATATTCCACGATCCTATCATAATATTAATTTCATTGATTAACGTCTTTATCTGCATCTATCTATAATGTGAGAACCCTTACTTATTTTTCACTACACCCGAGTGCAGTGCAGCAACGCTTGCACATTTTTCAATGTATCGCTTCCAGAAAATGCTCTAGCATTTACTCAATAATTTAAAAGATTCATGTCATGATTTAACGACAAATTTTCCGCTGGTTGTTGACCTCCTAATGCAACCCTCAACTTTTTGCATCTGATGCATGGAAATCGACAATGACATCTTTAAAAAATTATATTATTTTATTTTATTTAATCAAACATAGTTTATTTCAAATCAATAACTAACACAACAAACCAAAAAAAAAAAAAAAGAATAAATAAAAACTAAAATAAAAAAATTTCTAAATAGCCCTTAAATATTTTTCATAATATTTTTTATTAATGCGAGACTAAACTCATGGTGGAATAACCTGAAATGTCCCGCACTTCCCTCTCTCTGTTTTCAAAAAATTCACAACATTCCTCTTGCTACGCCGCCGGCGCCAAACCTTCGAGACTCAACAAGAAAGCATACGTATTTCTTCTCGAGCGCTGCAGATCGATCAATTCCCTCAAGCAAATCCACTCCCAAGTCCTTGTCTCCGGCCTCGATCAAAGTAGAGACATCGTGAATGATCTTCTTGTCTTCCTCACCGAGCCCTCTTCAGGCGACCTTCACTATGCCTTCAAGCTGTTTGATTCTTTGCGCAATCCATACCTCTTTGTTTTCAACCTTATGATCAAGGCCCTCTCCAAGAAAGGCAACCATAAAAATTCTATCTTTCTTTTTAGTCGAATGAGGGAGGAGAGTTTGTCGCCTGATAATTTTACTTACCCCTTTGTTTTCAAGGCCTTTGGTTGTCTCCGTTTGGATTCTGATGGAAGGAAGACTCATGGGCTTGTTTCAAAGAGTGGATTTGAGTTTGATCCTTTTGTTAGAAATTCGATGATAGATATGTATGCAGAACTGGGTAATATAAAAACTTCACGGCTACTGTTTGATGAAATGCCTCAGAGAGATGTTGTTACATGGAATGTGCTGATTGCTTCATATGTCAAGTGTAGAGAGTTTGAAATGGCGATTTCTGTTTTTAAGGAGATGGAAAAGGTTGGCGTAAAGGCTGATGAGGCGACTTTGGTTAGCTCAATCTCAGCTTGTATAGCTTTGAGAAATTTGGAACAGGGAATGAAGATTCACAGTTACATGAAAAAGGAGTATCAATTCAGTCTTCCTCTTGGTAATGCAATTTTAGATATGTATGCAAAATGCAGTAATGTGGATGCTGCATTTGATTTCTTCGAAAGCATGCCCATCAGAAATGTGATCACTTGGACTACCATGGTTTCTGGTTATGTGAATGTTGGTCAGTTGGATGAGGCTAAGAGGCTATTTGACCGCAGTCCAATAAAAGATGTAGTTCTTTGGACTGCCATGATCAATGGTTATGTGCAGCATAATGAATTTGATGAAGCACTTGCTATGTTCAGAGAAATGCAGATGAAAAAAATTAAGCCTGATAAGTTCACTATAGTGGCTCTACTCACATTATGTGCTAATGTGGGAGCTCTTGATCAAGGGAAGTGGATTCATAGATACATTGCAGACAACAACATGAGAATTGACAATGTTGTAAGCACAGCGCTAATTGACATGTATGCCAAGTGTGGTTCTGTTGAGAAGTCTTTGGAAATATTTAGGGAAGCGAAAGAAAAGGATAGAGTTACATGGACATCAATGATTTGTGGCCTCGCCTTAAATGGGCAAACACATGAAGCAATTGAGCTCTTCTATGAGATGAAAGCATTAGAATTCAAACCAGATGACATCACTTTCATTGGTGTTTTAAGTGCTTGTTGTCACGGAGGACTGGTAGAAGAAGGCCGTAGGCATTTCTATGAGATGAAGGTGGTGCATCGAATTGAACCTAAAATTGAACATTATGGTTGTTTGGTTGATCTTCTTGGACGGGCTGGTCATTTGGATGAAGCTGAGCAGTTGATAGAGAGCATTTCATATGAGAACAATGCAGATGCATTGCCTCTATTGGGAGCTTTTCTTGGTGCTTGCAGAATTCATGGAAACATAGAGATTGGAAAAAGGCTAGCCATGCAATTTGTCAAGTATGAGACAGTGAACTCTGGTCTTCACACACTTATAGCTAATATCTATGCAGCAGCTGATATGTGGGAGGATGCGACCCAAGTGAGGAAGAAGATTAAAAATTTTGGTGCCAAGAAGATACCAGGTTGCAGCTCCATAGAAGTGAATGGCCTTATCAGTGAGTTCGTTGTTGATGATACTGAACATATTGCGACTGCTGATATATTTGCAGTTTTAAATGGTTTGAGCCGACTCATGGAAATGGAAGAGATGGTTGGTTGTGTAAGTAGCAGAGTGGTGGAAACAAATACATGATATAGAGCACATATCAAATCATGAAAATCCGACCATTGCACGGGTTTTTAAAAGTGGGACTGGGGCATGAATCCTTAGATCAGCATTTGCATTCTCCAGCTCAAAGTCTGAGACATCTGGATCAGATATAAATTCATGGTATCAGAAGCTTATATTAACTTTGTCATATTCATTTAATGATCGGCTAGTACAAAGCAAATGAAGGTAAATTTGCAGTAAATTTTTTACATGATCTTTTTTTTTTTTTTCATTTTTTAACTTACAATTAATTTGCAATGAATTTCACATGAATAGACATTCAGAGAAATGTGACTAAGAATAGTTAAAATAAGTATTCGGTAGTCTGTTCCTCTGTAGTGTTTATTAATTATTTTTCTCATTTTCAAGCATGTTATTGAAGAATCATTAAAATTTACTGAGATTATCGTTTTGTGAATGCCAGGAGGAAGCAGGTGTGGCATTTATGTTATTGCTCATCTTTTTTCCAGTTCGCATTTACTGAACAGTAGGTCAACTTCTTTCGGTTCAACAACTTGACCTCGCCGAAGAGTCATATATCCAAAGAATGGCCTACAAATCCGGATATACAATTCATGCAATCGGCCTTTTTTGTAACTGATTGTGTAGCACGCCAAAACCAAACCCAAACTTACAAATGGTTGTGCCATTTTTTGTAGCAATAATGAGGAAGCAGGACCTAAACCTATGAGGTGCTTTTTGTGGTACTCAAAAGGAAGAATGATAACATCTCGATAATCACTGCAATCAAAATGAAAATCTCAGAGGTTCTTTCTTTACCAACTCTTTTCCTCTCTTTTCAATCCTCATCTCCTCTAGTTTGCTCTTACTCAAGTGGCAACATTTTCAAATATGCGATGAGAGTGGAGCATGCCTCCTCATCTCCTCTAGTTTGCTCTTACTCAAGTGGCCTGAGCCTTTATAAAAATTGATAGCTAACATTTTCAAATATGCGATGAGAGTGGAGCATGCCATATAATAGGTGAGGAGCTTTCCGTGAAGCCGAGCTTAGTAATAGAGACTAGATAATTAATTATGCACCAAACAAATGAGCTCCGAGAGAAGATGACTTATTATTTGAGAACCCTTAGGTCATGTGTTGAGGGTAACGCCTTGCTTTAAGATGCCATTCAGTCTTTAAAAATATTTGGTGTATAGAGGAAAAATAGGGTGCCACATGTTTACTGTGCATAGATCATTGCATTTTTCTTTGATAGAATAAGATGAAATTTACTTTCTTAATAGTGAGGATACTATCCCCTCCGATCATGAACAAGAAAGGAAACGCGTTGCGAAGAAAAAATTGCATTTACAGAATATCTTTTCATGAGAGATTGTGGCAGCTTGATCTCAGAGCAAGTTCAAGATTCTAGCCCCAGAACCCTTCAAGGGAAAATTGTACCCCCACCCCTATCAACCACATGGTTTCATTTGAATTGAAAATTTATTTCTTAAGGTTAATGATGCACTGAATTGTCATCTTTTCTTCAAGATTCTTCCCCTAGAAAAACTAAGCCATCCGTGGTTCATGCATTTGCCTCAATGAGTGATCACACCCCCTGCGGAGAGAAGCATGTCATATATTTACAGTTCGCTAGCATATCGAGCCCATAAGAACCTATAAACTCTTCTGCGAATGAGCCAGGAGTAAAACGAATCTCCGACAAGTTTTGTTACACATTTTCAAAAGTAAATGCTAGATGTCGAGACTGTTCACTAACACGACATTAGCTTAAGACCGAAGAGAAAGCCCATTTTGCTATTCCCTAAGGCCTCAACTTCCAAGGATGCTTGTTGAGTTGCTAGAGTTAGCTAGCAACTATATTTTTTACCAAGGATTGTAATTCACTACTGAGTACCTTAAAGATAAAGGAGTAGCATCAATCATGAGTAGGTTATCATCAATTCCCAAAGGAGCAAGCAGGTTACCCAACCAAGCATGGGGCTAAGCAGAGGCATTCTTGTATTCAGGATCTGTATATTTTGCATTGCATGCAGTTCTTTTGGTCTTGGTTTTCTTTCCTCGAACACTAAAACATAATACACAACTTGCTAACTGCAGTTATGATGACCTTCAAACTTAACAGGACAAGTCCATAGTGGCGACACCAAATGGCCATCGGGCTGTACAGGCCACTCCTACAAATGATCGTTGGTCAAATATTCCTCTTCAGTGTGTTCCACGTCATCAACATGTCATTTTCGTGCATCATCGTGTCAATTATGTGTCATAAGTGTGTTGCTGCTGTATATCTCTATTACGTCACCATCATGTTTCTTTCATGCTATCTTCCATATCACATCATGTCAATTTTATAATCCGATATATGACAATGATATATATATATATATATATATATACAAAACTTTCATATATTTATATTTAATATATATTTTGGGAGAACATATTTTTAATTTTATTTTTCAAACTTATATATTTCCAAATGATAATAAAACTTATACTTAACTTTATAATTATGCAACAAAATTTTTACAGATAATAAAAACATTACATGCAGTAGCAACATATTTACATATTGTTAATCTTTATATGATTGCATAGCAATGATAATACAAAACAAATAAAATAGCTACTATATGGTTACTATAAGGTAGACATTCACTAAAGAAGATGGAATGCAATGGGAATATGGAGACATAACAAAAATATGTTGTATTGAGGGGTATTTATAAACCAAGATCTGTTAAAGATAAAACTTAACAAAATATATGCACATGAACAAAAATTCAATGTTGAAGTGGCGGATCAGTCTGATATATGTTATACATAAAGAAGTCTAATGTTCATCATTAAGGTTAATCGTAATCAATGTTAGATGATGTATAGATAATCTAGCATGATTCAACATTATATATTAATAATGACAAAGAACTTGTCCCTATAGATGAGCATAGTAATGGGGTTCTACTGAAATTTGATCTATCATTATGTAGTCACATCATCCCCTAATGGCTGAAGTGACAGGTCAAACCAGCAAATGCAAATAGAGAAGAATCCAATATTAATTATTAGAACTAATCATAATTAATGTAGGAGGATATCATGATTAATTTAATAAAATATGATATTGTCCACTAATAATGATGAATAATATCAATTTTGTCTCATCATAA